AGAGAAGGTGAGAAGGGATACGGTATTGCCAGGGAAGGGAGTAAGGTGGTGGGAACTCCATTGTTTGGAGGTTAACTTGTGGGAGGGAATTTGGAGTTTCCTTGTAGAGTTGGTTTATATGATGTTAGTGGAAAAGGATAAATACTATGTAGCCATAGGTAGTTGGTTGGTTTTTTTTATAGACATGTGGGCAAGTTGGGTGATGAACTCATTAGAGTCTGATATATCATTGCTTTTCTTTTCATTCCTTTATTTTTCTTTTACCTTTTTTATTACAATTTATTATATTTATAATATTTTACAGGAACCCTTGGTTTATTGAGTTTATAGGGAGAATAAGAAAAAATAAGTATAATATACTACTCATATAACTTATAAATATTAATAGATAAAAAGGGAGGGAAGATGAAAAAAAAAATATCAAAATAATTTAGTTAACACAATATAAACAACATAATTACATTTGTACAGTAGATTGGGTTGAGTTTTCAATACTAAAACTTTATATCCAATATGGAAAATAATGAGTTTGATTGAACTTGAATATTATACGAACACTTAAAAAAATTGATATTGTTGGATCCACTCGAAATTATGGGACTCGAAAAAGATTTTTAGTTGTGTCATGTCACCGTTAAAAGTAAATGTATTTATAGTGATATAGCACAACTAAAAGATATAATTGGTTGACAGTGTAAAAAAACTTTACATTGACAGTGTATAAGTGATTAACTCTATTGTTAATATGTGGAAGACCTTTATTAAAGGGAGGCAAACCTTTCTAATTTGAAACTAATTAGATTATTCATCTTGATTAATTAAGAGAATATTTTGTCTCAGGCTTGGCATAGAACTCCTCACAATGTTACGATAGCTCTTGAACAAGTTTGTAATGGCTCCCCTAAATTTAATTTTGAACAAGTTTGAAATGACTCCCCTAAATTTAATTTGGATATTTTTTGGGAGAATCTTAATCAGGAAAAACAAAATGGATACATCAAAGGTATTAAGCACACACTTGATATGGTTGACTCTATGTTCCTTCTCAATCTTCATCAAGATTTGAGGAGAGAATATAATTTAATATTGGGTCGGGAAGAATACAATGCATCTGTATAAAAATAACTAAAGAGTGTTGGGTCAAGCCTAGGATAAAATACATAATACTTTCATTTTCAAAAGTAGGCATTGTCAAAAAAAGATTGATGGTCTCCATATTCCTGACGGGCTTTTGGTTCATGAATCAATAGGTGCTTTAGGATGAAACCATCTTCTCCCCTCTCTCTGTGTTGATGCGACAAATAGTCTTCTTAGCCCAATTACTAAGGAGGAAGTTTCAAAAGTGTTGAACTTTATGAAGCCTTTTAAAGTTCCTAAACCATGTGATTTTCTTTAAATAATATTGGCATATCATTAAAGATAATATCCTTTATCTTGTCGGAGAAGCTTTATACAATATGATTACTTTGAAATTGTTTACATGATTTGTGTCCAGTTGATTTAATGTGTTTAGTAAAGAAAAAAATCTCTCAATTGGCAAGATGATAATGATTTTGTAGAGACCGAATGAAGTAAAGTTCCATTACAATTATTGTAATCATTCTTGTTTATTATGTTAAATAATGTAAATAATTAAATTTTGGTTTTTTTTAATATGTTAATAAGGAAATTCAAAAAAATTGGGTTTAGAAGAATTTGTGCATGGAGCATGCTAGCCTAGAATATAATGGGGTGGGTATGAGTATGCGATTATGTAGGGGGAAAAGGATATCATATCACTCTTTTTTCTGAGTTATTTAGTATTTAAATATTTAAGGGTTTATGCCAATTTAAGATAACAAAAAATTTTAAAATATTTTAGGAGTAAGAAATTTATTTAAAATTTGATAAAAAAAAAATTAAAAGATTGGATAGGATAAAATGTTAGGATTTGAAGAGCAGATTTTTTTCTTGATACTTGATACATTTGATTGGTGAGTTTTGAGTAGAATAATGTATTAAAATAAGTTTTTTCCACAATATTATTGATATAAAGTATTTATTAACTTAGTCAATAACTAATTTCAAATTAATAAGAAATTTGAATAATTTTCTTTAGTGGAGTTTCCCTTCTTAATACTTTATTTTTTCATCTACAAAATTTAAAATCAAGACTTACTTAAAGGATTTGAGTTCATTTATACTTAAAATAATGACATGTAGGAGTATAAAAACAAATTAATCATTTCCATTTGTGAGAGAAAAAAAATTAAAAATGAAAGTTTGAAAATTTTAAGCATGAAAAATAATAAAATCAAAATTTTTTATTTTAAAAATAGAAACTTAAGTAATAAAACTTAATTAAGAATTAAAAATTAAAATTACCCATAATTCAAATGAAAAAAATTATGAAGAATGCAGTTATGCCAAAATAAAACAAACATTCTTAGTGATACTTAGTTGATGCTTTCAATAGCCTAAGTTCAACAAACATTATAACTATACTAACAAAGTTTGATATAATTGTCGTTGTGATTTCGGCGATGACTCGCAGCTTCCGAGTATTACGATTCTTTGCTTCGTGCCGCCGAGGAATCGGGCGTTAGGTATAAGCATCGTCGTTCGTCGATACCTCTTCTGAATGAGAAATCAAACATCAATAATAACGATAGATTTGTTAGAAAAGAAAAAGTGGCTTATTTAGAAAACTCCGAGCTAAGTGACGATTCTAATTACGAGATTTCGACTGAAGATTTTGAGTTTAACTTAGCAGAGTTACGCCCTGGTCCTATGTATCGGTGTCAAATGTTAAAACCGGGAGATAATGTAGAAGGGAATTCGACTAAGAAATATAGTTTTGATGTGAGTAAGGCAGAAAAGATATTCGATACCTTGCTAAAAGATAAACAGATTATACTCCCAGAGAATCATAAAATTCCACCTTTCGAGCAAAGAAAAGGAAAGAAATTATGCAAATATCATAATATGTATGGACATTGGACTAACAGTTGTGTGCGTTTCAGGGATTTCATCGAGAAGGCGATTACTGATGGTCGCCTGGCTTTTGAAGAGAAGGAAATGAAGGTGGATGTTGATCCATTTGCTGCCCATACTGGCTATGTTGAACCAGTTTCGATGCCCATCAACATGGTGGAAGTTGCTGCTGAGGACGATGATAGCATTGAGCCCATTTCTGACGAGAAGCTCGAGGAGTTAATGGAGGATTTTGCTAAAGAGCAAGAACCCATATACCCAAAGGAAGGGGATAGTCTGTTGGAGTTTCTGTCGAAGAAAAAAGAAGCTGATAAAGAGGTCATGTTGTGTCCTCGATGCAGTGCTGTCTTTGATAGGGCAGCGACTAAGGCTTTCGAAGAGTCAGAAATGATGAAGAATTACAAAGTTGAGAAGCTGCGTGAGAAAGCGAAACCCAATGCTAGGTCGAATGCTGGTTTGACCATGAGGCAAGTTCATATGCCTCAATATAATGCCCCAGTTGGGAAGATGGAGATGTATAACTCGTCTAGGTTCGGCAATACTTTTGCGCCGAACGCGAATGTACCTGTTGGAAGATGAAATGCACCACCTAGGCCTATAATGGGTCGAGGTAAACAAGTAATGACTAGCATGGGAAACCCAGTACAGGGAAATGCAGGAAAATTTTCGAATTTGACTACGGGGAATGTTAGAATTTCAGCTGGGGGAATGTTAGAATTTCAGCTGGGGGATATGGACGTGGCTTTCGACAGCCATTTAACAACTTAACCAAAACCCAATGGAGGAGGCAGCAAAGGATGCGAAAAGCAACCTTTGAAGGTATGGGGGGAAATCGTTTTTCGATTCCAGTTCCTCAAAAAGGGGAGTCCTCTAGAAAGTTCATCGAAGACGATGAGGACATGATAACGGACTGCTTCGAGAGCGGTTTCGAGGATTCTCTGGAAGATATTTGCAGGATAGTTTCCATTTTACCTTCGGAGTATGCTGGTGCTATGGAATCCATGAATGAACAAGAGGATATCAACAGGGAAGACGTTTTTGAGGATCTCAATTATGAGTCCAAGATTATATGGGTCAATCAAATCTCGAGGGTTGTACCCAAGTTCAACTCAGCTGTGTTTGACTCTCCCACCGAGGAAATGAAAGGACACCTCAAGCCCCTATTGCTAACTTTGATGATTGAGGGGCAGGAGGTGAATAAGGTTTTAGTCGATGGAGGCGCCGTTGTGAATATCCTGCCCAAAACAATGTTGAAAAGGTTTGGGAAATCTCTGGCTGACTTAAAGCCTCACAACATCATGATCTCGGACTACGCATGAAAGTCCTCACATCCTGAAGGTATGATTTTGTTGGATGTGCAGATTGGGAGTGTGAAGAGGACTACTATGTTTATAGTGACGCCATCGAAGGCGAATTTTAATGTCCTACTAGGTCGAGAATGGATACATGGGGTAGGTGCTGTTCCTTCCACGGTTCACCAGAGGATTTTCTTCTGGAATGAAGATGAAGGGTTGGAGGTTCTCGAGGCTGATCAGAAGACTTATGAAGTTGGCATGTATTTTGCTGATCAACAACTGACAGCATTTGCCAAGACCAAACCATTCGACGCCTACAATTCTGGGGTGATGGATGAAGAGGAAGGCGTCAAGAAAACCTTTTGTTGGGACGTGAAGAGAGGATTTGTGATTCGAGCCGAAAAGAATTCGGCTCCACTGGATGAATGAAGGAAGAAGATCCTTACTCGAGCTTCTTAGCTCGAATATCGGCCTATGTGGCCGATCAAACGGCCAACTTGGCCGAGAAAGATCAGTTTGACAATGAGGTTAGCACGGCCATTTTGGCCGAAGAAAAACAAAAAAAGAAAGAAGAGATGGATTTCGAGTCAATAAAGAAAAAAGAAAAACAAAAGAGAAAAGAAAAGGACTTCGAAATCGAAAAGAAGAATGAAGAAAAACAAAAAACAGAAAATCAAAGGGACCAAGGAGTCTCAGATAAAAATGAAAAGCAAAAGGAAAAAACAGACCTAGAGATCGAAAGGACAAAAGAAGGTAAAGAGCAAGAGCTAGAACTCAAACTGGACTGCATTTTCGATGATTCACCTTTGGGGTTCGAGAGGGCCACTAATGAAGAACATAAGTTAGAATCCCAAGATCCGCTCGAAGAGGTTAATCTGGGGACTATCGAAAATAAGCGAATCACTTACATTAGC